AAGGTTCCCCTTGACATTAAATCTAGTTGTGTCTGACTGGGGAGTGGTGCTCATCTCCATTTCTAAGCCAAAGAGCTGGCGTTGTCCTTAGACACCTCCAAGGTCATGTGGCCAGCATGACTTCATGGAGCGCCGTTACCTTCTGGCCAAAGCGGTACCTGTTTATCTACTCACATTTGAATGTTTTCAAAATGTGAGGTCGACAGGAGCTGGGCTAACAGTGGGAGCTCACCCCGCTCCCCGGATTTGAACTGACTTTTTGGTCAGCAAGTTCAGCAGCTCAGCAGTTTAACCTGGTGTGCCACCAGGGGCTCCAAACTTGTATAAAGAGCTCATTATATAGGTGACAATGGATGAAAGATTCAGAAAAGCTCTTCCATCCCATTCTAGGACACAGGTAAATTTGGCCAAAATGGCTGACAACAGGTTCTGTTCGTAACAACCATGGACTAATTTTCAAAGCTGATAGCAATCTTATTTGGCTGAGGTTAGGAACAGTTATAGCCGCTCTCTTTTCATCTAACCCAAGTGATGCAGCCGACGTTTGGATTGGTGCCCAGATACAATAATGGATGGATCGAGGCCAATAAATGGGAGAGTCAGACCAGACAGATGGAAACATTTGCCCGGTGAGTGATGCTCCGTCTGTTCTGGAGAGCGCGGCTCTACTTCCAATAGATCTGGTTGATGTTCTTGGGTACCATAATGTTACTGGAGAGCCCAGTTCCGATTGTAGCTCGGAGAATCTTTTATTACTGGGCTGCTGTGAGTTTTCCGGGCTGTCTGGCTATGTATTTATTTATTTATTTTATTTGTCGTGTCAGGACAACCAGTCAAATTACATTTCTAACAGAACAAAGCAAACAAACAGACAAAATACAAAATTTGTGAGTTTGGTAGTTGATTAAATGTCCTTTGACCAGTATCTGGCCACTTGGAGTGCTTCTGGTGTTGCTGCAAGAAGGTCCTCCATGGTGCATGTGGCAGGGCTCAGGTTGCATTGCTGCAGGTGGTCAGTGGTTTGCTCTTCTCCACACTCGCATGTCGTGAATTCCATTTTGTAGCCCCATTTCTTAAGATCGGCTCTGCATCTTGTGGTGCCAGAGCGCAGTCTGTTCAGCGCCTTCCATGTTGCCCAATCTTCTGTGTGCCCAGGAGAGAGTCTCTCATTTGGTATCAGCCATTGATTAAGGTTCTGGGTTTGAGCCTGCCACTTTTGGACTCTCGCTTGCTGAGGTGTTCCAGCGAGTAGCTCTGTAGATCTTAGAAAACTACTTCTTGATTTAAAGTGTTGGCATGCTGGCTGATATCCGAACAGAGGATGGGCCGGAGATATCAATGCCTTGGTCCTTTCATTATTGGCTGCTACTTCCCGACACATGTCAGGTGGTGCAATACCAACGAAAAAGCCATGTTCTAGAGCAGTGGTGCTCAACCTGGGGTCCCCAGATGTTTTTGGCCTACAACTCCCAGAAATCCCAGCTAGTTTACCAGCTGTTAGGATTTCTGGGAGTTGTAGGCCGAAAACATCTGGGGACCCCAGGTTGAGAACTACTGGGCTAGACAGTGTAATTTCTCCAGTGGTGTAGGGCACAGACACCCCGTGATAATGCGGCATGTCTCATTAAGAGCCACATCCACTGTTTTAGCGTGGTGAGATGTGTTCCACACTGGGCATGCATACTCAGCAGCAGAGTAGCATAGCGCAAGGGCAGATGTCTTCACTGTGTCTGGTTGTGATCCCCAGGTTGTGCCAATGAACTTTCGTATGATATTGTTTCATTGAATGTTTGCCATATATATGTGCTGTAATCCGCTCTGAGTCCCCTTGGGGAGATAGGACGGAATATAAATCAAGTATATTTATTATTATCATCATCATCATTATTATTATTATTATATTATCATCCATTGTAGCAGATAGGTGGTCAGCATTTATGATATAGGACTGAACTTGGTTTGCCATGAAATCCTCTAAGATCTACCCATCACAGCCTGTTCCAAAATCCACAGTTGGCACATAATGAAACAGTACTTACAAGGAACAAATTGTGAATCTTGTTCTGAGTCCCAGATCTCAATGGAGCTCACATAAATTCAGTCCTAATTACACCAATCTTTCTTCACCTCAAGATAATTTAGGTGTGTGAAGGAGTCGTTTTGTGGGCTGCTATTTGTTGAGTAGTTGTGTTTCAGAAAAACTAGTAAATCAACTAGAAATCTACCTGTAGTTCCAGATCTACATTCCACCCACCCATTTTGGAAATTGCTTTCCCTCACAGAACATTATCTCCGCTCTTCCAGTGCTAATTCCAACACTCTACAATATCCCTGCTGTTTAGAGCAAGACTTCTTATAGTTTTTCCACTTTGGATTCTTCTTCTGCAGTCAATACTTTTGCAACTCATGAGCTAGGAAAAGAATCAGTGCAAAAACTCCTAGTTTGGAGGAAATTATTCAGATCAACATTTGACTCCCATACATCCTTCCAGGTTGAGTCCAGCTAGAGAACTGAGGAAGGAAAGACTGGACTACTGCAACGCACCCTACGTGGGGCTGCCCTTGAAGACGGCCTGGAAACTTCAATTGGTTCAACACTCCGCAGCCAGATTGCTAACTGGAGCAAATTACAGGGAGCTCCAGTAGCTGCCTTTTATTTTCCGGTCCCAATTCAAGGTGCAGGTTATCACCTACAAAGCCCTGAATGGTTTGGGATGCGCCTATCTTCGTGACCGCGTTTCCTTCTACGAACCTGCACGACCTCTTCAATCTTCCGGGGAGGCTCTCCTCTCGCTCCCACCTCGTCACAAGTGCAGCTTGTGGGGACGAGGGAGAGAGCCTTCTCGGTGGTGGCCCCTTACCTGGGGAGATTAGGCTAGCTCCCACCCTGTCAGCTTTTAGGAAAAGCTTGAAAACCTGGCTGTTCTGCCTTGCTTTTGATGAATGAACAACAATCCCCATACCATAACCGTCCCAGCATATATTTGTCCTCCTGATGCATTTCACCTTCTTCTTAGTGGGCAATTAAACCCCATAGCTTTGGAACACCCTCCCTATAGAGATACGATCAGCCTCTTCGCTGATGGTGTTTCGGAAGAGATTAAAAACATGGTTGTGTAAACAAGCATTCGGTTAGTTTGTTATCACCGAATTTTATGGACTAAGGACTGGTTAATTATGGATGACGAATTCTGGACTGTGATTTTAGTGACGAGATACATGGTATTATTATTGGTGGCCCAATAATTTGTATTGTCTATGTGTTGTTGTTTTAAATTGTATATTGTTTTTAATTGTTGTAAACCGCAATGAGTCGCCGACTTAGGCTGAGATATTAGCGGTATACAAGTGTATTAAATAAATAAATAAATAATAGCTTGCCCTCCTGTATCTCCCACCAGATAAATCACTCCAGTTTTCCCATCTCACCCTATGTCCCATTGTTTTTGTTCTTGGATCTGGACCAGCCCACTTCGTTTATTCCTTATACTTAATTTTCATTTTATTTCATACCTGGTGTTTTTATCCCACTGTGTTTTTTTTATTGTTGCATTTTATTGTTTTTACTGCTTGTACTTTATTTTTGTTATTATTTGTTGTATGTATTTTATTTGCTCACTGTATTTGTTGGCCTTGGCCTCATGTTAGCCACCCCAAGTCCCTAAGAGGAGTATAATAATAATAATAATAATAATAATTATTATTATTATTATTATTATTATTATTATTATTGAATTGAAAAGTCGACAACAGATCCCAAATGTAGATTCTGCAAGGAAGCAGATGAAACAATAGATCCCATCCTGAGCTGTTGTAAGAAGATCGCGCAGACAGACTACAAGCAGAGGCATAACACCATTGCTCAGATGATTCATTGGAACTTGTGCCACAAATCCCATCTGCCTGCGACAAAGAACTGGTGGGATCACAAGCCGGAAAAAGTTACAGAGAATGAACACGCCAAACTCCTCTGAGACTTCCGGATTCAGACAGACAGAGTTTTGGAGCATAATACTCCTGACCTCACTATCGTGTTAAATAACAAAGTATGGATCATCAATGTGGCAATCCCAGGTGACAGCAGGATTGAAGAGAAACAACTGGAAAAGCTGACACGATATGAGGATTTAAAAATTGAACTGCAAAGACTCTGGCACAAACCAGTAAAGGTGGTCCCAGTGGTGATCGGCACACTGGGTGCAGTGCCTAAAGACCTTGGCCTGCACTTAAACACAATCGGCGCTGACAAAATTACCATCTGTCAGCTGCAAAAGGCCACCTTACTGGGATCTGCACGCATTATTTGTCGATACATCACACAGTCCTAGACACTTGGGAAGGGTCCGACGTGTGATCCAATTCAACAGCCAGCAGTGAACTCATCTCGTTGTGTTTCAAATAATAATAATAATAATAATAATAATAATAATACTTTTTTTATACCCCGCTACCATCTCCCAAAGGACTCGATGCGGCTTACATGAGGCCGAGCCCACAATACATCAATACATGCAATAACAACCACAATACAAAGCAAAATACTAAATACTAATACAAAGCAATTAAAAATAAAACTCATACATAAATAGCATAAACATTGAACAATAGCACAAAACACATTTAAAATCTATGGCTGGGCCAAATGTAATTAAAGTTAAAAAATAATGCTGGGCATGAACAAGATAGAGGAGGTAGGGCGTTGGTGGAAACGTACAAGTAATCCTAAATCAGGATAAAATGTTTTTAGAGGACATAATAATAATAATAATAATAATAATAATAATAATAATAATAATGGAAAGTGAATGGGGCTCAAAAGAAATCTCATAATCCCACCACAGAACTTTCAAACAAATAGAACAAGACACATCTATCCGAAGGCTCTGAAGTAGAATCAAAAAAGGCGTGACCATAACTTCACAATATTTATCTCATGTTAGGATCCAAATTAAATCCTTTGTTAATTAGTATTCATTGATACAGAAGGAGAAAAACTTTACCTCGGTTTCTGACATTTCTGCCACAATCTCATCTTCTTTAAAAACTCTGATATCATAATCTTCAGAACCAACAAGCAGCTGCACAAGGGAGAAAGCACAACTTTTAATATGCAGCATCACATTTCAGGCTGTGCAGTAGTGACAGTTCTTGTAGAGGGTCTTGTTTCTTTTTCCCATCTAAATGACTAAGTGACAAACTGAATATATTTCCAACATGCATTGCATCTGGAGAGACCCTGCTCACACTCCCACCTCCATCGCAGGCGTGATTGGTGGGGACAAGGGAGAGGGCCTTTTTGGTGGTGGCCCCTCGACTCTGGAACTCGCTTCCCAAGGACATCCAGGATGCCCCAACTCTGGCAATTTTTAGGAGGAGCCTGAAAACATGGTTGTTCTACTATGCCTTTCCAGAATAATGAATTTCTCAGCAATATGCCCTCAAAATGTACTTTTATTATTGATTTAGGACTGATTGATTTGCACGCCCTATCCCCTCCGAAAATTTCCATCCCAGTTTATCCTACCTTGCTCATGCCCAGCATTATTTTTTTTAATTTTAATTTTACATTTGGCCCAGCCATAGGTTTTAGATGTTTGTTGTGTTACTGTACTGCTTATATTTTATTTTATTTTTGTTTATGAGATGTATTTTAARTGTTTTGTATTGTTTGTTTGCTGTGTTATTGTTATTGATGTGTTGTGGGCTCGGACTCATGTAAGCCGCAACGAGTCCCTTGGGGAGATGGTAGCGGGGTAGAAATAAAGATTATTATTATTATTATTATTATTATTATTATTATTATTATTATTTATTGCAGGGCTGAAAATCAGGTGMAGAGCAATTTTTCTGCTTTTCTTAACCCCCCTCCCTCAAGGAACACAGCCTTAATCCTTCTCTAACAACCACAATCTGCAGCATAATGTGTGAACTCATACTTTCTAAGGACCACAACTTTTTTGATCATGGAGGTTCCTAAAGATAGTGCAGAAGCTACCACAGAGGTTGTCTGGAAGGTGTTGGTTTGACATTAGAATAATTCAGACAGATTAACAAGTGAAAATGGCAAAGCAATTCAGTGTGAATCATGTGGGAAACCAATTTCTGGGGAGAATTCTCTGTTGAGCCTGAACCTCAGGTTTTACAACTATTACCACAGGTTTCTAACAAGCAGGCTGTGCAGGAGAGGAATAAGTGCATGCAAAATGTGGCTTCAGATGAAAAGGATACACTCCTTTTGCCTCAGGAGAGATGAACAGGGCATCCTGCCCTCACACATACTACTCTTACACTAAATTTGTCTGTATTCCAGCCTTGGGATAGAGTTAGGCTGGGAAAGGCCTGAGGACAAGCACTCCAAAGCAAGGCCACTAGAGGTGCCCCTAGCCCAGGGATGGGAAACCTGGGGGCCCGGGGGGGGGGGGGGGGGGGGAGATGCAGCCCCTTGGGCTCTTTTCTCACCATCCTCTTTCTTACCATCCTAGCCTTCCTTCCTTCTCTCTTTCCTTCTTCCTTCCTTCCCTCCCTCCCTTACCTCCCTCTTTCTCCTTCCATCCTTCCCTTTCGCCCTTCCTTCTTTCCCTGTTCCCTTTTTTTCTTTCATTTTCTCCTTCCTTCCTTCCTTCCTTCCTTCCTTCCTTCCTTCCTTCCTTCCTTCCTTCCCTTTTTTCCTTCTCTCCTTCCTTCCTTCTCTTCCTCTTCCCTTCCTCCTTCCTCCCTTCCTCCCTCTTCTTTCCTTCCTCCTTCCCTCTCTTTCTCCTTCCTTCCTTCCTTCCTTCCTTCCTTCCTTCCTTCCTTCCTTCCTTCCTTCCTTCCTCCCTCCCTCCTTCTTTCATTCTCCATTCTTTTCTTTTTCTCCTTCCTTCCTTCTGCATTCCTGTTCTCCTCTTCCTCTCCTCTTTCTCCTTCCCTCCTTCTTTTTCCTTCCTTCTTTTCTTCTTTTCTCCCTCCTTCCCTTTTGTTTTTCCTTCCTTCTCTTTCCTTCTTCCTTCCCTCCCTCCCTTCTTTACTTCCCTCTTTCTCCTTCCTCCTTCCACCTTTTCATCCTTCCCTCCTTCCTTCCCTTTTGTCTTTCCTTCCTTCTCTCTTTCTTCCCCCTTACCTACCTCTTTTTCCTTCCCTCCTTCCTTGCCTTCCATCCTTTCATCCTTCCTTCCCTTCCTTTTCTCTTTCCTTCTTCCTTCCCTCCCTCCCTCCCTTCCTTACCTCCCTCTTTCTCCTTCCCTGCTTCCTTGCCTTCCATCCTTTCATCATTCCCTCCTTCCTTCCCTTTTGTCTTTCCTTCCTTTTCTTTCCTTCTTCCTTCCCTCCCTCCCTTCTTCTTCCTCTTTCTCCTTCGTTCCTTCCACCTTTTCATCCTTCCCTCCTTCCTTCCCTTTTGTCTTTCCTTCCTTCTCTCTTTCTTCCCCCTTACCTACCTCTTTTTCCTTCCCTCCTTCCTTGCCTTCCATCCTTTCATCCTTCCTTCCCTTCCTTTTCTCTTTCCTTCTTCCTCCCTCCCTCCCTCCCTTCCTTACCTCCCTCTTTCTCCTTCCCTGCTTCCTTGCCTTCCATCCTTTCTTCTTCCCTCCTTCCTTCCCTTTTGTCTTTCCTTCCTTCTTTCCTTCTTCTTCCCTCCCTCCCTTCCTCCTCCCTCTTTCTCCTTCCCTCCTTCCTTGCCTTCCATCCTTTCATTCCCTCCTTCCTTCCCTTTTCTTTCCTTCTTCTTCCTTCCCTCCCTTCCCTCCCTCCCTTCCTTCCCTCCCTTTCTTCCTTCCCTCCTTCCTTCCTTTCTCTTCCTTCCTTCTCCCTCTTTTCTCTTCTTCCTTCCCTCCCTCCCTTCCTTACTCCCTCTTTCTCCTTCCCTCTTCTTCTTCCACCCTTCTTCCTTCCTTCCTTCTTTTTTGTCTTTCCTTCCTTCTCTCTTTCCTTCCCCTTCCCTCCCTTCCTTACCTCCCTATTTCTCCCTTCCCCTCTTCCCTTCCACCCTTTCATCCTTCCCCTTCCCTTTTGTCTTTCCTTCCTTCTCTATCCTTCCTCCCTTCTCCCTCCCTCCCTTCTCCCTCCTTCTCCTTCCTTCCTTCCATCCTTCCCTCCTTCCTTCCTTTTGTCTTTCCTTCCCTCTCTCTCTTTCTCCCTCCTTCCCTTTCTCCTCTTTTCCTTCCTCCCTTTCTCTTCCATCTCTAGGATTCTATATCAGGAGTAGGCAATAGGGGGTCCCATGGATACACTTTTTCTCTCCCGTCCACCATCTCATCCTGACCAAGGCCAACCCTTTTGGGATCCAAACGTTTCCCATCTTTCCTTCACTTTCTGCTTCTGAAAGAAAAGAGCAAGGGGAGGAAAGGGCAGGGAGGGGGCTTGGGGAGAACCCCCCTCCCTCCCGGCCCACCCAGCCCGCTCCAGCCCACCATGCAGTCCCCAAGTTCGAAAGTTTGCCCATGCCTGATCTAGACTAACATTTTGTCCCACGAGGTCAAATGGTAGGATATAAGTGCAACCAAACCCTTTGGCACATGCTTCCTATTAAAAGAACAACCTGCACTTCCCAAGAGTCCAGAGAGAGCAGATACCATGACAGCCTAAGACTGAAAAAGTTCAGTAGGCTGTATTAATATACAATATTGGCTACAGATCCAGTAATTCCAGTTCTTAAACGTTTTAAGTTTCTAATGTTGTCAAAATAAGCAAATGCAAATATTAGCCAGCAGCCATTTACCTCTTTTTTCCCATCTGCATCGAAGTCGCACAACGCCAACGAACGAACGTTGTCACCAGTGACCTATAATTGCAGTTTGAGAAATATTAATCAGTATTTCTTGTTTAGTGTCAAAAATATCAGCTGCAAAGGTATTATAATTAACAGCACGTTTAAAATGTTGTTCAAAACACCCATTTTGGACTGAGCATAGAATCATAGAACCAAAGAGTTGGAAGAGGCCTCATGGGCCATCCAGTCCAACCCCCTGCCAAGAAGCAGGAATATTGCATTCAAAGCACCCCTGACAGATGGCCATCCAGCCTCTGTTTAAAAGCTTCCAAAGAAGGAGCTTCCACCACACTCCGGGGCAGAGAGTTCCACTGCTGAACGGCTCTCACAGCCAGGAAGTTCTTCCTAATGTTCAGATGGAATTTCCTCTCTTGTAGTTTGAAGCCATTGTTCCGCGTCCTAGTTTCCAGGGAAGCAGAAAACAAGCTTGCTCCCTCCTCCCTGTGGCTTCCTCTCACATATTTATACATGGCCATCATATCTCCTCTGAGCAAGGGCTGAATGCATAGGCAAACAGGCAGGCAAATGACTCCTTGAACTCCCTTACCTGTAAATTACTACATAACGTTGAGTTCTAGGGCCAGAGAAGCAGATGGCGGAAACAGAACGGCCTGCCTCAGGGGAGCGTGCTTGCTCCATCCATGTTCAACATCTACACAAATGACCAGCCACTGCCAGAAGGGACAGAGTTTCATCTATGCTGATGATCGTGCCGTTACTGCTCAAGCAGGGAGCTTTCAGATGGTAGAACAGAAGCTCTCCGAAGCTCTAGGTGCCCTTACTGCCTATTACAGGGAAAACCAGCTGATCCCCAACCCATCTAAAACACAGGCATGTGCCTTTCATCTCAAGAACAGAGAAGCATCCCAAGCTCTGAAGATCACCTGGGAAGGAATCCCCCTGGAGCACTGCAGCACACCCAAATACGTGGGAGTCACTCTGGACCGTGCTCTTATCTACAAGAAGCACTGCCTGAACATCAAGCAAAAAGTGGGTGCCAGAAACAATATCATACAAAAGCTGACTGGCACAACCTGGGGATCACAACCAGACACAGTGAAGACATCTGCCCTTGCGCTATGCTACTTTGCTGCTGAGTATGCATGCCCAGTGTGGAACACATCTTACCACACTTACTTATTTAGGCGATCCCTCGTTGGACGAGTAAGATGGTCTTCCATTATGGATTTCCTTGTGGGTCCGTATGTGGCTGTGGAGCCCTATTCTTGCTCTGCATCTTCTTCCGCAGTGGGGGCATTGGTTTCCAGGTGGAAGGCGGTCCCGGTCGGGGTTGGCTTGACGCGCCTTCCTCCTGGCAACGTTTCTCTCTTTCACCCTCCACTCGTGCCTCCTCAAATTCTGCAGCACTGCTGGTCACAGCTGTCCTCCAGCTGGAGCGCGCTCAAGGGCCAGGGCTTCCCAGTTCTCAGTGTCTATGCCAGAGTTTTTAAGGTTGGCTTTGAGCCCATCTTTAAATCTCTTTTCCTGTCCACCAACATTCCGTTTTCCGTTCTTAAGTTCGGAGTAGAGCAACTGCTTTGGGAGACGGTGGTCAGGCATCCGGACAACGTGGCCGGCCCAGCGGAGTTGATGTTGGAGGACCATCGCTTCAATGCTGGTGGTCTTTGCTTCTTCCAGCACACTGACGTTTGTCCGCTTGTCTTCCCAGAGATTTGCAGGATTTTCCGGAGGCAGCGCTGATGGAAACGTTCCAGGAGCTGCATGTGACGTCTGTAGACAGTCCACGTCTCACAGGCATATAGCAGGGTTGGGAGGACAATAGCTTTATAAACAAGCACCTTGGTATCCCTACGGATGTCCCGGTCCTCAAACACTCTCTGCTTCATTCTGGAAAATGCTGCACTTGCAGAGCTCAGGCGGTGTTGTATTTCGGCGTCGATGTTGACTTTGGTGGAGAGGTGGCTGCCAAGGTAGCGGAAATGGTCCACATTTTCTAATGTGACACCATTAAGCTGTATTACTGGCATTGGAGAGGGATTGGCTGGCGACTGCTGGAACAGCACCTTGGTTTTCTCAATGTTCAGTGACAGGCCGAGCTTCTCATATGCTTCTGCGAAGGTGTTTAGAGTGGCTTGTAGATCTTCTTCTGAATGTGCACAGACGACATTGTCATCAGCATACTGGAGTTCTATAACAGATGTTGTTGTAACCTTGGTTTTGGCTTTCAGTCTGCTGAGGTTGAATAGCTTGCCATCTGTCCGATAGATTATTTCCACTCCGGTGGGAAGCTTCCCATCAACAAGGTGAAGTATCATAGCGATGAAGATGGAGAATAGAGTTGGGGCAATAACACATCCCTGTTTGACACCTGATTCCACCTTAAATGGGTCACTTTGGGAGCCACTGCTGTCCAAGACTGTTGCCATCATGTCATCGTGGAGGAGCCGCAGGATGTTCACAAATTTGTTTGGGCACCCAATTTTGTGGAGGATGGTCCAGAGAGCGCTGCGATTCACTGTGTCGAATGCCTCCCAGCTCCTTCAACATCAATCCAGTCACTTCAAGGATACCATATAATCCAGTTCAAAGCACATAATCTGGGTTACTTTATTTGATAATCTGTATTATATGGCGTTGTAGATCCAACCTGTTGTAGTTCTAAAACGTCTTTAGCCTTCTGTGCCAAAGAGTGCTGGTGCCTCCCAAACCTCATCTACACTGTTTCGTAAAATCCAGATTATCTGTTTTGAACTGGATTATCCTGCAGTGTAGACTCATATAATCCCATTCAAAGCAGATAATGTAGATTGTCTGATTTGCTAATATGAATTATATGGCAGTGTAGAAGAGGCCCCAGACTACAACTCTTGGGATTCCTAGCATTGAGCCATGGCAGTCAAAATGGTGTCAAACTGCATTAATTCCACAATGTAGATTCCTCCTAGGCAATGACTAAAATGGACACCTTTGCCCTCAACCCGTTTGTCCACCTACACTGCAGGATTCCTATTTCCAGAACCTCCTGGGAGGGCATGAGATGGAGAAAAAGATTGCCACTTTCCAGATGGATGGACCAAGATGTCCTTCGGCTCAAGAGATTTATCCAGGGCTATTCGAACTGGGAAGGCTGGCCCTTTGGTGCTGCAGCGCAGAGAACTGGTCCAGATCCCATCAGATTAAGCCTGGTCATAAACTCTTGCCCTGTTCCACCTCCATCCAGGAGGATGATGCCAAGCCGCCCACATTGACACGTGAATCAGCATTACTGCCGGTGCCTCCTGGCATTTCCTCACCTTCCACCTGCTGCTAATGAGCGGTGAATTAGAGATGCGCCTAATTGAGCCTAATTAGGCACCCTTGCATTCTTTCCTGGGACAAAAGGCCAATGTTATGAAGTTAGAGGGCTGAGGATTGGTCACCAGGTTGGGATAAATGTGCAAAAGGTGAATCAGCAGAAATAACCAGCGATAAAGAGTTACTTACTTACTTCGACGATCCCTCGTTGTCTGAGTATGATGGCCATCCAAATGTGGTGTCTTCACGATGGATATGTAGGTGATTGTAGAGCCCTGTTCTTGACCCACATGTTCTTCCACAGTGAGTGCATCGGTTTCCAGGTGGAAGGCGGTCCCATTCAGGGTTGGCTCGACACGCCGTTCTCTTGGCACGTCTCTCCCTTTTGCCCTCAATTCGTGCCTATTCAAATTCCACAGCACTGCTGGTCACACTGACCTCCATCTAGAGCGCTCAAGGGACAGGGCTTCCCAGTTCCCTGTGTCTATGCCACGGTTTTTAAGGTTAGCTTTAAGCCCATCTTTAAATCTCTTTAAATCCATTTTCTGTTCTTGAGTTTGGAGGAGAGTAACTGCTTTGGGAGACAGTGGTCGGGCATTTGGACAGCAGAGTTAATGGCATAGGAGCATCTCTTCATATTATAATATTATAATTATAATATTTATAATATTATAATGTAATGCAATATAATATTACTACTACTACTAATAATATGATATTATAATTATATATTTATATTACACTAGCTATCCCCTGCCACGCATTGCTGTGGCCCAGTCTGGAAAATAAAGTAATTAGAAAGTGTTGGTTTCTAATCTATGTAATTTCTTTATGCTTGTGGGTAAACAGTATTTCTTGTTGTTTCTTTGTCAGTGTTGATGTCGAAATGGTCTCGTTTGCCTACTTTGGGTCGCGACACATGCAACATGTAATGTCCTTCTTTAGGGGTCCCTTTCACATCTATGACACTATATCTGTGTGTGTGTGAATCATATCTACCTATCTCTATCTATGGCTGGATGGCTCTTTGTCAGGAGGGCTTTGTTTACGTTTTCTTGCCCTGGTGCAGGGAGTTGGACTGGATGGCCTTAAGTATTTTCTGTTGGTCACGGGGGTTCTGTGTGGGAAGTATTTTTGTGTCTGTCTGTCGTTCATGGGCTTCAGAATCCTCTTTGATTGAGAACACTGTGGACTCAAACATCCAGAGAACACTGTGGACTCAAGCAATGATGGATCTGGACCAAACTTGGAACAAATACTTGATATGACCAGATGTGATCACTGGTGGAATATTGGAGAAAACAGACATTGACATTTGGAAGTTGTAATTGCTGGAATTCATAGTTCACCTACAATCAGAGAGCATTCTGAACTCCACCAACAATGGAATTGAACAAAACCGGGCCCCCAGAACTCCCATGAACAAGAGGAAATACTGAAATGGCTAGGTGAGCCTTAAGTTTTGGAGTTGTAGTTCACCTATATTCAGAGAGCATTGTGGATTCAAACAATAATAGATCTGGATCAAACTTGGCACGAATATCCAATATACCTAAATGTGAACACTGATGCATTTTGGGGGAAATAGACCTTGACATTTGGGAGTTGTAGTTGCTGGGATGTATAGTTCACCTACAGTCAAAGAGCAATCTGAACCCAGCCCACAATAGATCTGCACTAAACTTGGCACGCTACCTACATAGTCAACATTGAATACTGGTGGGGTTGTGGGGGGGGGGGGTGCTATTTTTGAATTC